TAATCTACATATCACATCTTACTTTTACATATCACATCAAGGATATTTTTTTGGAAAGTCAACACCAAAATATCCCTTCCTTAAATCCTCAAAAAGTCAAAAACGAAAGTTCATTTAGGGACGCATGGAGTATTTATTTAATAAGCCTAGATCGGACAAATGGTGGGATTCGGGCCGGATAAAACAAGTCTACGGGCCTTCCCACACACACACACAACTAGTTGTGCCCCTATTCTATCTTAAGCATAAAATATATTCCTTCCATCAGGGTGGGGTTCCCATGACATTGGGTTGGGATGACCCAGAGGCGCTCCAGTGCCCCGTTCGTAAAATTAACGGTTTCTACCCCCTTAACCTCCGGTAAACCCCCCACCCTGCTCGACCCGAACACACTCCCTACCCTCGTCAATTGCACCCCAAAAGTTGATTTTAAAGCACGATTGTAATAAAACATATTCCCTCCGTCCCAAATTTGATTACAAATTACGGGTTACGAAGTAAAATTTTCTACTTTTTGAAATCATTTTATTTACAAATTGGTATATCAATAAGATATAAAAATTACATATTAAAAAACTACGTCAAAAGTTCTACAAAACAAGAGGTGACAAAAATATTTTATTTTATCAAATACTTGATGAAATCGCGTAAACAAACAAAAGTTATCGAGAGGAGAGAGAAAAAAAGATTGTAATATATTTAGGGACGGATATCACCAGTTTGATTCATTAAACTGGAGACTATTATTTATAGTAGCTTGTTATTTTCCTACTAGCAAACATCATTCACAAGTAGCTAGTATAAGACACTGTACGTCTAGGAGGAATCTGTTTGTTAATTTGCTCTCAATAGGACTGCTTTTTATTTAGATTCTCTATATATAACCCAACAAGTTTGGTTGAATGCATCATGCCACTTTCAGGATTCATGCTATGACATTCATTGACCACCAGTGTTTGGTAACATTGAGAAAATCCAAGTCAGAGGGGATTTAAGCCCTAGTCAATGGAAAAAAAACATTGACTTCTTCTTCTTTGCTGCCGCCTTACGGGAAGAAATGAGAAGTTTACTCTAAATCAATCTAAAACGGCAAGTAAGAAAATTAATTTGGTAAAAATTACTTAAAATAGAAGTAAAACATAGAAAAACTACCAAAATAGGAATTATGTTTTTATTCTCGAAATAAGACTTTGCACTGTGGTAATGTGACACTATAAATAAACACATTACTATACTTTTTAATAATATACATGACCACGTTTGGTAATGTAAATGTATTTCAACTCCTATTTCGGAAATAAAAATATAGAAGTTCTATTTTAGTATATTTTCAATGTTTTACACTTACTTTGGTCCTTCTCCCTTAATTTCAAACATGAGGAGTATTTTACATTAACTCAAATAATTTATGTGTTTGCTAAATTTAATATGAATTTCTAGGTAGACATTATTTACATTTAAAAAAGAGCAATGCTATGTTCACAAACAAAATACTCACAAACTTCACATACTTACTATTTATGATTCAAAATTTTATTTTAAAATCATTTTAGACCATTTAATTTTATGCATGGAAGTTCACAAATAGTAAGTTTGTGAAGTTTGTGACCATTGTGTTTGTGAACCAAGCATTTCCCTTTAAAAAATTGAAAATTTTATTTACCGTGCAACGCACGAGTATGAATCTAGTATTTGTAGTAGTAGTAGTAATATGGAGGATTCTACATATACTCATTTTGAGCGGCTCTCGACGACTCTAGCTTTAATCGAAGTACCTACGGTGCTCCATTCACAAAACTGATGATTCCAACCTCGACATCCCGGTAAATCCTCTCACCCTGGAGTCACTGGCTCTAGAACCGTTCTGATAAAAGTAATAATAATAATAATGATAATAATAATAATAATGTTATTATTATTATCATTACTACTATTAGTATAAAAATGCACGCAAATTATTTTTAAATCACTATTGAAAGAAATCAAATGATTTTAGATAAAACTAAAAAGAGTATATAGAAATTTGAAAAAAGTTTGAAAAAGTAAGAAGAATTAAATTGGGAGAAACTAGTAAGTATGGGAAAATACTAAAAAAAAGTTGGAAAGTAATTAAAAAACATTGAAAAACATTGGAAGTTTAGAGTCCATTTGGTTGTGGGAAAATACTAGTATCACCCCGTGCATTGCACGGGTCATACTTACGAAACTAAATTAAGATCTTTTTCAACGACACAGATTTAAAAATGCACTTGAAAGAAACTAAGTATGAAAATTATTGCAAATGATCATATTTATACAATGAAAGGTTTTTTGCTTATTCTATTTTCCTTTTTCAGATTTGTTGTTTTTAAATTTACATTGTAATATTTGCCAAATTACACAATTGGTATTACTTATCATTTCAACATTCCTTTTTTAGATGAGTGACTTGAGGATGATCTAAAAGTTGCACATTCCTTTTTAGTTTATAGACCTAAAAGTACATAAAAGTTGCAAATGATTCGTTATTAACATATTGTGTTTCCTTTTGAAGTTTTGAATACGCGAGAGTAAATATTTTATATTCTTATTTTATACGGAGTATTCAAATTGCTAGATTCTAGAATTTAAAATAACTTTAAATTTTAAAATGGAAATACCGTACCATAGTGGAAATTCGATAAAAAAGTGTGTAATTACCTTTTTTATTAATCAATCATAGTGTAATTAACTTTTTTTATTAATTAATCATAGTGCAATTACTCTTTTTATTACGTTTTTGTAATAATTAGCGCATAAAATAGCGTGTTTATAGATTCCCTATAGGCGGTGTGATAATAGCATCCCGAAATATAGGAATACTGTATTAATGGAAAGAACATTTTATTACTTACCAATACAAATTTCTGAATAGTAATACATAAATATTAGTGTGTATTAATTAGAGTATAGAATAGGATGTATATACAATCCTCAATTAATTATATACAATACTAATGGAAAGCGTAGTTACCTTTAAATATTATAACACAATTTTCTATTACCAATGCATACTATAATTTCCTTTTCGGTTGATTCATAATAAAATGGTAAGAAAATATAAAACGGTAATTACCTTTGTATATTATAACGAATTATTAAATTACCGTTGCATATTATAATCTGATCTCCTTTTTGGTTGATTTATAATAATATCGTACGGTTGATTTGTAAGAAAATTGTAAAAAATAATTACATTCTCCATGATTATTATTAATTATTGACATATTGTGTTGCCTTTTTTAGTTTTCAAAACGTTGGAGCAATTATTTTATATTCTTATTTTATGTTCAAAATGCTGGATTCTAGAATTTCATATACCTTTAAATTTTGAAAGGGAAATACGGTACCATAGTGGAAAACAGTAAAACACGATACCAAAAGTAGCGTGCAATTACCTTTTTTATTAATCAAACACGGTGTAATTACTTTTTTTTTATTAATCAATCACGATGTAATTATCCTTTTTATTACCTTTTTTTTTATCAATAGCGTGAAAATAGCATCCCGAAATATAGTGATACAATATTAATGGAAAGAGCATTTTTTACTTACTAATACAAAATTCCGAATAGTAATACAATATTATTAGCATGTATTAATTAGCGTGTATAATAGGGTCTACGTACAATCAGTATAGTATTTTATTAATAGCACGTATTAATAGTATTTTATCAATTACCAATTAAACTTCATAATTACCAAATCTAATGCCTAACACTATTGGGAGGGAAAACACAAAGAGGATTTCCCTCTTTTTAAATAATTTCGTCCACTTTATTATTTTTATTACCATTATAGAATTGACTTACTTTTATCCCTAAAAGAAGAAGTGACTTATTTTAATCTTAAAAGTGCATTATCGCATTGTGAAAATATGACACTATATATAGGCATTTCATTATAATTTTTGGTCTTATATATTGCCATTATTATTAACATTCTTATTTTGAAGATAAAAGCATGAATGCTTTGTTTTGATTATTTTTCTATATTTTACTCATTTACTCATTAATCTTTTTCACTTTCCCATCAGCGTCATTGGAACACTAACATTTCTTTTTGTATTAATGTTTTTCTAAATCAACTAAATGAATTTGGGAGATTTTGTTTTTAAAATGCGAGAGAGAAGAATTATTTTTTATAATCATTACGGGGGTAGTTGGGATTATTTTTTTTCCACTAATCTTAATTAATATGGAGGAGAAGAATCATATTTTTTAATCATGGAATTTAAAGGTCGGTAATTTAGGTTTTTAAAATTAATGCGAGGGAAAAGAATCATTGGATCACTTATACTTTTTGTATTACTATATTTTTAAATTTATAGAAAGATCGCGGAGAAAATTATAGGTTTGTAGAAATCCATCAAACCTATATAATTTATATTTGATGTTTAAATAATACGCCTCATAAAAATCAAGTCATTTTAAAAATCTACATTGTAGAATTGGCAAAAATTTCATTCGAACCCGTGCATGGCACGGGTAAAAAAACTAGTAAAATTAGGGAGGAGGAGATAGAGCAAGGGATTGACACGATCCATTGATTTTAAAACTTGATCTTTAATTAAATAACATACTCCGTATGTATATATATATACTTCGTATATATATATGTGTGTGTATATATATATAGTATATTAATTAGATAAAATTATATTTTAAAAATATTTGATATAATAAATCTATTTTTTTATTAGTATATATTATAATTTTGATTTAATTGAAGTTTGTTAAATATGGCAGATATATTACTCTTATTATTTAGAATATCTGGTTACCTTGTTTACCTAGACTTTACCTCCTCCCTGTGTATGTATAAATACCCCGACATATGATGAATAAAGTACTCAGTTCACAACACGTTATCAGCACGAGTCTCTGAAAACTTAATTCTTCTGGCCGCTCCCTCTTTCCTTCCATTGGAGACCAATCCTCCGACGAACCACACATCTGGGCTTCTCTCTTTTTTCTTGATCTCCAAGCCTATGCTCTTGCCGTTCAATAGTCGGCCCCTTTTAATCCCAATAGTGAGATTGCTTTCAGTGTTATTCTATTTTGAAGAAGCAGCGAAAAGAAAAAGATACCCGATCTGATTAAACTAGAGAATCTCAATCAGATTAGCACGTACCGTCTATCTTTCACTACGGTGGCCACCACCATCATCAGCCGCTATGGTAACCCTCCGTCCTATTGTTGCTAATCAGATTTGTTGCCACTATGTTTTTCCATTCTCTCGAATGAATCCAGGTATTCTTTTCCCCTGCTCTAGCTACATGATTCAACACCTTTGAAAAATTGAAATGACATAATTCAATATTGCTTGTACCATGTATATCGTTTAATCATGTTAGTATCCAAATTGAACTTATCAGACTTAAATTTTGAGTATTACTTATTGAAATTAATTATTATTTTTTACTCCCACATATATATGTTGCTTATCATAAAATTTGAACACGAATTGCAATCGAGTACGATACAGAGTATTTGTTTTTCTGATCTTTTTTGAGGGAACGAACTGATTTGAACTCACGGTCTTGTATCATAAACAATACTGTATATCTTTTGCTTTTGAGTTTACAAGACATTAGTCGAAATGATTTGAACTTTCTGCTGCCTGGAATATATATTTTTATATCTTTTCTACATATTAAATCATGTTATTTACTTTCCAGTGCGTCTTTTATGAAGCTACTCCAAATTTGAAACATTGACTTTTTTTGTTCGTGTGAAATGTAGTGTCATGAACAAAATTTGATCTTCCTTTATAATACACTTTCCCCAAAGTAAATTGAAGAAATTGAACTTGTAATTTACCAATTTTCAGAAGTATATTGGTGTAATGATTCATATTTAAATAAAATTGTTTCATTTAAATTTTTTTTGAGATGTCATCATGTTACACTATGATATACTCCAGGGTAACATATTGCAATAAGTTTATGTGACCGATATCTAACTATATATTATATTTAGTTTGGGAGTATAAAATAATATTTGGATTTTTATTTTCCCTTTTGACGTTGTAGTATATAAAGTTAAAGATTCTATACACTCCATATGTGATTATATTTTTGTACTTTGATATGAAAGATTTGTGAAAAAAATACATATTTATTCTTAGATCACAAAAGTGATAAATATTTTGTGCTTTTGTATGTTCATGACCTATAAAAGAAGATTTTCAAATGAAGGAGTTAAGTGTATATGCAAATTAAGATATCATAAGCACAAATGACATTTAAATTTTTTTGGATATGCATCATTGTAAAATGGTAGCTTCATTCATATTTTGTTTTTGAACAAAAAATAAGGCATTAAAATTTGCAATTATGGATTATCTTTGTTTTTGATGCTAAGGGAACGAAAATGTGCATTTTAATACTCTATATTTGCCAAGTTTACACAACTCATGCTATGTGATTCCCTAGCTAATTTTTGATAAAGGCAAAATTTTGGATCATTCACTTTATAAATTTTTTTTGGCACTATAGCTATATTTTACAAAAGTGTTAAGTTTTGCCCCCAAAGTGAATCAAATTGGATATTTATTCTAAATGTCCGTATTCTCTAGAAGAGAATACAGAAATAAAACTTTTCTTATGTATTTACCATTTTCCAGAAGTAAAATGGCCTAATGTTTTTTTTTAAATATATTGTTCAATGCATTCTCTCCTTATGCAATGGTAATATATTTTGATGTGATATACTAAGTTGCAATAAAATTTGTGTGACCAATATATGTAATTGCATGTATATGTGGTTTGAGATTACAAAATAGTGTTTGAGAATCTAGTTCCTCTAAAGTGGTAGTGTAAAAAAAACATATACTCCATATTTGGTTACATTTTTTTTCATTGTTATAAAAGATATTTTTTGAAAAAAAAAACATGCTATATATTCATTCCCTGAAGTGAGTGAAAAAAAATTGATTAACATGCATGAATATGATAGCCTATCACAACTATTGTGGTTATACATATGGACTCATCAAAGTCACTGTTATGGTCACATAGAAATACATTTTTTAAAACAAAACATTGATTATTTGGATCTAAATATTCCTGAAGAATATTGAACTCTGAAAAGAAATCATTAAGATGTATAATCTCCTAAATTAAATAAGAGTCATCATGTTCATCAAACACAATATATGGGATTATGGGTATATGAGATACCTAAGGTCTTATAATATTTAATTACCACCTGAAGTGGCTTATTTTTAGTTAAAAAAAATCTCATTATACAGACACGTTTTGATATTTCAAGACCATTGTTCTAATCTATATGTGATTCCTCATCAATATTCCTGAAGAATGATGTAGTAAATATATTATAATCAAAGGAGTGATTATACATATTATATTTTTTAGATGAAAGAGAATCTTTTCTCTTGTAATTAAAGAAATTAGTGTACATATAATTTTTTTGTTATACAAAACTTATAGATAGATCGAGAAGAGCATTGCAGAATAAGAGCTGCATAATAGAAATAATAAAAGTCTCATAAATATTGAATATTTTGAGATGATAGTTATTGTCCTGCATTGACGAATATTCTATTGGGTATAGACAAATTCTTATTGTTTAAGGTGTCTCTGTTAATGTTTAAGATACCAGTAGAAATGAATATTACATGACACTTGATCGAGATTTGTTTTCACGTAAACCAGAAGTTTACGGAACCAATTTTATTTTAAACATAACCAATTAAATTATCACAATTTAGTTTGTGATGTGAAAAAAAAAATCATTAAAAACTCAAGTGAGTACTCTCTAATGGACTAGAAGTTTCTGTTATTATTAGGACCAGAAGATCCTAGAGTCTTGTTCTCATTAGAAGATTATTATGAGAATATTACTAATGAAACTTGCGATTCATTTCATACATATTTAGAAATTGTTCAAGGATAATTGATTGGGCCCAACAACTATTCGTGATGACAATTTAAATGTTTTATATGATGCATCATTACATTTGTCATATTTGTTGATGATTAACTCGTAACCTGAAGTTTATGAGATTATTCATATATCATTTTATGGACACAATTTCTAGATTATGTTAAACATCATTAGTCACAAAAGAGCCTGTAGCTCTAGTTAATATGCAAAGTGCATCAAATTAGTGGCTATACTTTTGATTATGAGAACAAATCATTTTATACTAGATTTTGAATCTTTATTTATGTGGTAATTATTTGGAGCGGATGCTTAATGGGCTTAAATTAAGATAAATTATCACACACACACACACGTGTGATTAGGGAGAGAAGCTACATACCATGCAAAACACCTGAATACTGAGGTACGATTTCCTGGTCAAGAGAAATATAGTAAAAGAACAAGATGTAAGTAGGTGATTTCGCTGCTCATTGGATAATTATGTTGGATTGGATGAATCTGCTAACCTGGAAGTTTACAAGGAATCCAGAGTGACTGAACGCTTTTAACCCGACAGCTAGAGTAAGCCAAGCTGATGCTATTGTTGGAGTTGGAGCTGGAGCCTTAGTTAAACCAATGAGGGCAACCCCAGGTCCAAAAAAACCAAATGACTACAAAAGGAGATAAAATTAGTGTGTTGGAACATAATCGCCAAATTCTGAAATGACACGATCTATATGGACCGTTTGAAACTCAGGCAATGCCAAGGGAAGATAGCAAAGACAAAAATAGATGCTCTCTAGACAATTTGGAAGGGAAGACATTGTGTGGGATAAATAAAAGAATTGCCTCAAACTGCATACAAATCATTTTTTTTCAAACTCCTTTTATTTAAATGTTTCTGAAATTGGAGTAACATTTAACAATAATTACGGCTCAAAAATCAACAAATGATAGAAGATACTCATACCTGCATCACTTTGCGGGTCGGTGTAACGCTCATACCAATTCGAATCATACGGTCAGATAAAACACCAGCAGCGTAACCCATTAATGCCATTATACTCCAAGGAACAGCACTAAACCATGCTGCTTGTCTGAGATCAACACGGTATATCTACCAAAAGAAAAGTGTAAAAACATAAAATGATCATCTACATTAATTCAAACGCATTCGTAAAAAAAAATATATGCTTCAAGTTACAGTTTTGAAGTAAATTGGCATCCATGAAAGCATCACAAAAATCCCTGCATTAACATATAGACGGAAGAATCATAAATAAACTATTTCTTTTCTATTATATATGTGGTACTTTGATACTCCCACCATCCCAAAAAAAGCATTTTAGTTATACCAACAATAGAACAATTAAATATTTGTATGATATATGGTTTGTGATAGTTTTATCTTACCAATATTAAAAAAAGTGTACATTTTTAACAAAATGTTTTGGGATAAAGGTATCTAGAGTAAAACATTGTCAACAATACACTTTTGCATGCTTTTATAGTGATAACTAATTTAGTACCATAAATTTAATATCATGGACCCCAGTTAGTTGTGATTAAGGTGCTGAAAATGATGATTGGTCAAATATGACTCTTTTTATGGGACAAAGGTAGTATTTACAGTACTTTTTATGGCAAATACTGATTAAAATGAAAGTTAAAAACGACATGCACCCTGCATGTGTTTAATAAATGTCATTATTACCCAGCTCTGCATGGAATTTGCAACAATTAAAGACCATGTTGGTGGCTTAGATAGCAAACATCTAAAAGGTGGGATCACGTTGGCGGTTTTCATTTTATTGTCAGATGCAGAATGATTTAGTCCCTTGTTTTGTATGTAGCGCAGTTCCTGTGTTGATATTTGGTTGCTCCGCTCAGGTGTACTTGAGATTGCAGATATCCATACCAGAACCCAAAGAAAGCCTGATAGACCAAATATAACAAATGGTCCAAACAAACCACCCTGGGACATGAGAATTGGAGAGAGTGAGCCCAATAGCACTTCCAAGCTGAAATCCCGCCATTGCAAGAGCTACAGCCCTTGATCGTTCTGTCCGTGGAAAACATCTGATGAAAAAAAGAAGTCAAACAAATGGTGTTGGATTTTTATGCTTCTTTAAATTGTACTAATGTTTAAGTAACAAACAAGATATGGATGGAGTAACTCCATCCGTCAAAAAAAAAAAGAAGAGAAATGTTTGTGTAAGGTACAACACTTTTAGTCAGTTGCTCAACTCAATCAAAGACAATCTTTTAAAAGTTATAAATGGTCACTTATGCCCCTTAAACTTATTTACAGGACTGTTTGGGTTAATGGGCTTAAAGACTTTTTGCTAAAAGCTATTTAACTGAAATGACTAAAACAACTGGATTTTCTGGATTGAAAAACAAGTTATTCTGCTAATGGGTAAAATGAGCCTAATATGAAGACTAATTGTTGCTTAGCTTTTCAGGAACTTTATGTAGAAATTCATTCTCTCTTTTTAGGTGACAAAAAATGTTTTTGTATAACACTATGAAGTTACTTCAATCACATTCTAGAAATTGAGAGAAATGTATTTTTTTCAAACAAAAAAAAGTATCTTAGTACAGAATTAAGAAAATTTTGTGAATGTGTGTGCTAGATAATAGGGGTCATGAAAGACTCTTGTGATAGATTCATTGGATTCTTGACCTCCTACAAGCAAATGGTGTGTCACTACTCTTCCATTCCACTCTATGCCCGAACTACGGAGAGGCCATGTCCAGCTCAGCACAGCCCAAATATGGTCCAAAAACTTATCCATGCATATATTTTTAAGCATTCAAAAAGGTTCATTTTTTCTTTTTCATCAATCCCAAAATAAGGTTTTTGTTTGCTTTGAAGTAAACAATTCATCTACATAAATTTGAACCGCGTACTTTTATTTTTGAAACGGATGTTGTATTATCCAATGGGTATGACTTGTATACCTTGCAATCATATTGTTCATGCAGGGAAGAGCTACGTCTTCTGCAATGCTTAGCAACATCCAATGAAAAACAGTGCCCGGCCGCAAGGAAACCCCCATAGACCAAGGAGTTAGAAAAGTTGCTAAAGACCATAAAATCACACCCCCATGTCAAAACTGCCTTCCCACCAAAATAATCCATTAGTGTCCCTCCAGCAATTGGTGATATCAGATAACTCTAGAGAAAAAGAAGACTGCGATTACTAGCTACTCGTCGATCAGTTAAAAAAAATTAAAAACATGTGCCAGTATTATGGATGAGTTGCTTTTTTTCCAATATATGTGCTCAATGCTCATACAAATGTTTATAAGAAACTAAATGTCTCTCTTAGGTGTTAACAACTCCTAATTGCCTATTAGAACGTTTTAAGATATGGGTTTTGGTTTCTCAACTAAACTACAATCATCATACCAAGATATTTGTGGAAGTTGATGTACAGTTGTAATAATCACTTTTTTTTTTTGCATTAATCATTTCTTTAAGTCATGCTTTATTATCCTGGATATCAAAAGCTTAAAGAAGTATTCCAAAACAATAGCACCACACTTCCAAATCAAACCTACACAAATGCATCAATTAAATGTAGATCCTGAAGAAGAAATTTAGTTGGATAAAAAGATCCAACCAATGAGCCTAGGTCCAAGTGCGTCATTTTTTTAAGTTGAACATCAAACTCGATTTGGCACTTGGCTTTTGTCAGCAATCACAGCCAGAATTAAACAGATGGGGAAACATAATGAAAGACGCAGAAATGGAGAGCACCTGAACAATGCCGGCGAAAGATTGACTCCATCCATAAGAATCCTTCAACGATACAATAGCCACAACTTTCACTCTCTCCTAAGTAATAAACCACGAAGCTCGGCTCCTGCACTCCGTCTCGAACCGGACACAGGTTGAGCATCGTCGGTCGAAGCTGTAATTGGGATCAATCGGGTTTCTTCATTCTTTTTTTGTTGCTAATTATTATTCTTTGAGATGCATTATTAGCCATGGCCGACGATGTAGTCACCAGTAATTGATCATAATAATTGAATTATTGATGCTAATTAGCCTCCACTAATTGAATTCTTTGAGATGCTAATTAGCCATGGCTAATTGAATTTGAAGTTTTTTCAAATTTCATTTTTCAATATTTGCATTTGGCAGTAGGTAGTAGGTTTCTAGGATGAAAATTTCGGTTTTTTTAAACCTACCGAACCGGTCGGTTTTTTGTCGGTTCGGTTTGTTTGATTCTCGCTTTAATTCGGTTCGGTTCGGTCGGTTATTACGAGTACTTTTAATTTTTGGTTATTTCGGTTTTGGGCCGAAACCGGCAGAACCGAACCGATGCTCACTCCTAACTACAAGTGTGTAAACAAAAATCTTCCTTAAACAAGTGTGTAAACAAAAATCTTCCTTAATTTTGTTACATTTCCAACTTTCCACATTCTCAAAAATTTTAAACTTTCTTCCGACTTCGTCAATAGTTGCCCCGCTTGCCTAATTACATATATTTTTTATTTAATTTTTTTATTTTATTATATTTGTGCTGACTTGGTTTGATCCCAAGAATTCAATAACCCTAAACAAGACAAAAAACTGGATTCTTAAGTCAAACAAATTGAATTATAAAAACTATTTTTTAAAATTACAATGAACATTATAACCATAAACATAACAAAATGATATACAGGGACGGCTAGACAGGGCCCATTTTTTAGGGGGCCCAGGTTATATACACATTGTACAGTATATTTTTATATATTTACATTTTGTTTTTAATGTTGAGTAAATTCCATAATTAGTCCTTTATACCAGGAGGGGTTTCCATATTTAGTCCTCTATTATCAAATATTACCAAAAATAATGAGTAAATGGTTATTTTTTAATCTTCTGCCGTGTTGGTGTTAATTTAAAGGCTAAAAGTATAATTTGACGTCAACATTATGTCTAGTGACATGTTCTGATATTGGTTAAGCGGATAACACAAAAATAATGACTATGATTGTGGGATATGATTCTGACGAAAGATCACATTTGTAGACTATTGTCGTAAAAAGCGACTGTAATTCACAAACGACGCAAACGGAACAGCCTTTGGAATTGTGTATGACAAAAAAGATATATTATCATTTTGAAATTACACTTTTAGCGCTCAAATTAACACCAACATGATAGAAGATCAAAAAAAGATTATTTGTGGAAAGGTACCCATAAAAGAATAGGAAAACCCCCTGTTATAAAGGACCAATTATAGAATTTACTCTTTTTATGCTAAAATACAAGAAAAAGTAAAGATTAAGAGAAAGTGGCCTAGTGGGCCAAAATGATCTACATACGAAATTAAGGATCTAATGTTAATACCCAAACGACCAAACCAGTAGCCATTAAGGTATGCAATAATAATTCATCTTGGTTCCCATGACATTGGAAACCAATGTCATAGGATGACCCGGGAGTGCTCCAGTGCCCCGTTCGTAAAATTGACGGATCCTACCCTCCCTAACCTCTCGGTAAATCCCCCACCCCGCCCCGACCCGAACACACACCTCCACCCCCTTCAATTGCACCCTACAAGTCAATTTTGACTTTGGAGGGGGCCCAGGTTGGGAAGGTTGGAACCGTCAATTTTAGGAACGGGGCACTGGAGCACCCCAGGTCATCCCATGACATTAGGAACCAATGTCATGGGAACCTTCCCCATAATAATTTTATGACACCATGAATTTGATATTTAATTATTCTTATTACTATAACGTTAATTATTGTTAGATACATTAATTGATAAATTTTATTATATTATGACACAATGATCCATTTTCTGTGTGTTGTACAGGAATCTTAATTTCTCGGGGACGGCCCTGACGATATATAATACAAAGTATTATTATTTTAAGAGTAAATTCTATAATTGGTCCTTTATAATAGGGGGGTTTCCCTATTTAGTCCTCTATTATCAAATATTACCCAAGTGGTCCTTCTTTTATGGGTACCTTTCCACAAATAGTCCTTTTTTTGATCTTCTATCATGTTGGTGTTAATTTGAGGGCTAAAAGTGTAATTTTACAATGATAATATATTTTTTTTGTCATACACAATTTTAAAGGCTGTTCCGTTTGCATCGTTTATGAATTACAGTCGCTTTTTTCGACAACTATAGTCTACAAATGTGATCTTTCGTCAGAATCCTAGCCCACAATCATAGTCATTATTTTTGTGTTATCCGCTTAACCAATTTCAGAACACGTTACTAGACATAATGTTGACGTTAAATTATATATAAGCCTTTAAATTAACACCAATACGGCAGAAGATAAAAAAAGGACCATTTGGGGAAAGATACCCTTAAAAAAATTAAAGGACTACCGGGGTAATATTTGATAATAGAGGACTAAATATGGAAAC